ATCTTTTTTAAGCTAAGTTTGTGTTATTTTAGTGTCCCCTCATCCATTTATTTCCGCAGCAGGATACAATTAATAATTTGCCAAAGTTAACTTCGGAAAAAAAATACACTTGATTATTTCTTTAGCAACATGTACTTAATTATTATTTTGCCATCATGTTTATGAAATAAAGTATTTTTATTTTTATTATTAATTAGTATTCTTTATCGAACATAAAAATAATCTCTCTTGAAAATTTAATAAATACTAAATAAATACTGAATATTTTCTTTTTATTTGAATTTTTTGTTTTCACAAACGCCCGAATTCGAAGTTTATCCATTTAATACCTCATCACTCGCACAACCCAAATTAGTTAAAATAAAGTCATTTAGAAATAATATATTTAACCTTATTAATACTAAAAACATTTAGGCATATTTTGATAGTTAAATTACACTTTATTATTTTCATTTTTATCTTAGTTGTTACATTTCAAATTAACAATATTGCATAAGTTAGTTTTGTAACTAAATTTATATAGTTTCCGCCAATCATAAGAAACAAATCTCTATAAAATTGACTTCTACTTTGTCCAACCGTAAAACATACTGCAAAATGCAAATGCAAGTAGTTGCTTGAAGCTTGTAAATGAGTTCACTACACTCATGCATTCAACAAAATAAAGAGAAATTTATAGGGGTGTTTCAAGTAATATTAATTGATAACACCTCTTCTCCTTGTGGCCACGTGCTTTCTTATAAACAAAACAACTGTTGCAATAACATACTATGCTACACAAATAATCTTTATTTTTGCAAGTGATAGAAGTTTTTATCGAATAATAAAGTATTTTAAAATTTTAATTTTAATTTTAGATATAAAATATAATATGCTGATGATAATATTCATTTTGGGTGTATTCATGATTTTCAACATCAAAAATTCATTGTTATTTTTCCTGATAGATATTTTATATGTATACCTTGATTATTTTAAAAAATGAAAATAAAAAATTACGATGTGGCTTATTTAATTATTTTACCATAATGCTGATCTTTCAAAGTATTTTATCTTGAGAAATTTTATGGTACCCACATTGTTTGAGAGGGTACCGGTACAGTTATAATTATAATTTTATTTTATATTTTATATTTTTAATAATTTATTTAAATAATATTTATGATATTTTATTCTTTTAATTTTTAAATTATTTAGTCATTTTATTTTTATTTTATATATTCTAATTTTATATATAATAATATTATTATATGTGACATAGCAAGTTGGTGTTTTAGTAGCCCAGAACGGGCCGTTCCTAATCTGGAACGGGCCGTTCCAAGCTATTAAAATGACCAGTAAATCGTAGCTGAGAACGGGCCGTTCTAGATGGAGAACGGGCCGTTCTGGATGAGTTCCAGAACGGGACGTTCTAATTTCAGAACGGGTCGTTCTGATTTCAGAACGGGCCGTTCTGCATGTAATTTATGTACGTGTTGAGGGGGTGCAGAACGGGTCGTTCCGGATTCGGTACAGGCCGTTCTGGCCACTCCGGAATGTCTATAAATAGAGGTTGTGAGCAGTTGAGGAAGAGAGGTTTTTTTAGAGAGAAGTTCTATAGAGAAGGGCTCTGGACTAGAAAAGTTGACTTTTGAAGGATTCAAGTTCCGAGTTGGGCTTCGGAAAGGGGATTCTGCTTCTTGGCTATCCTGATCCAATCTTCAGGTAAGGGAAGTTAGGATTTCTTGCCGGTTGTGTGTTGTAGTGAGCTAGGATTCACGATTTGCTGCGATTTTTAAAGATTTTGAGCTGTTTTGGATCCAAACTCATTTTTCGGGGTTTTCGGGTTTTTGGTGGAATTTGGGATTTTCATTGTTTATGGTTGCATGTGGGTAAAGCTGGGATTTTTGGGTTGTTTGATGAAAATGTGATGTTTTGGGCCGATTGCATGTGTTTGAAAAGCTAATTTGGTGCAGGTTTGGAAGAGATTTTTGAAGTTTGAGGGTTGCTGCTGGGTATCACGCCGGGCACAGTTCTTCGCGCTGGGCGCGTGACCATCAGAGGGCTCCATTGGGCAAGCCCGTCGGGCGCAGTGTTATATGCGTCGGGCGAGCTTGAGGGTGTGAGCCTCTAGATGGCCCTCGCCGGGCGTGGTTGGACCGCGCTGAGCGCGATATCAGTAAGTGACGTTGCTTGGGGATTTCTGGTGTGGCGCCGGGCGTGACCTTGTCTCGTCGGGCATGGAGACTCCTTGGGAGTCTCTACCAGAGATGGGGTTTGCGCCGGGCGTGAGACTTTGGGGAAGTCTCTGTTTACCCTGCACCGAGCGAGGGTTTGCACGCCGGGCGTGTGAGACCTTTTGAGGTCTCTGCCTCCTAGCGCGCCGGGCGCAATGGGAATTGTGTCGGGCGCGCTGAGCCCTGGTGCTCTCTAGTGGTGCCACGCCGGGCGCGACCATGAGCGCGCGGGGCGCAGACATGATATTTGATGTTAAGCTGTTATGCGTAGAAATGTGATGATAGATATGTTGAGCTGAGCTGTAGTTGTCAAATATTGTTGTGCTGACTAGTTGATAATGCTGAATTATGATATTGAGCTGTAATTGATGAATATGTCGTGCTGTTAAATGTTATTATTGATTAAGGATGTTTAGGCTGTGCTGTGAGCTGTGTTTAGATGTTAAGCTGAGCTGTGCTGTATGTTGATATTGCTGTGCTGTAAGTTGTTTAGCTAAGCTGTAAGCCGCTATTGTTGTATGCTGATATTGTTGTGCTGTAAGTTGTTTAGCTGAGCTGTAAGCCGCTATTGCTGTATGCTGATATTGTTGTGCTGTAAGTTGTTTAGCTGAGCTGTAAACAGCTATTGTTGTATGCTGATATTGTTGTGCTATAAGTTGTTTAGCTGAGCTGTAAGCCACTATTGTTGTATGCTGATATTGTTATGCTGTGCTGAGCTGTATGTTGTTATAGCCGCTAAGTCGGTGTTGTTATAGCCACTATGTGGTGTTGTTATTGCCGATATGCGGTACTGTTATTGCTGCTATGCAGTGTTGTGCTTCGTGCTGTTAGGAGCTGTTGTAGGCCGTAAGGCTGAGCTGTTGATCACTAAGACTAGAGGAGATGTTTTCGAAATTCCTCATCCCATTGTGTGGATTGAGCGGTTGTGGTGCTCTTAGAGCCCAATTTGTTGAAAACCCTCCCGGGAAAGCTGATCCTTGGAGTGGTAACTTGCTGTTCTCCTCTAAGTTCTTAGTGGTCCCATGTGTGGGCAAGGTCGAGGCACACGTGTATAAAGCGACCACGGTATAGGGGCCAGGTCGAGTTATGCCGCTTACAAGCGACCAATACTAACTTATATGCGTGACGACGCATTGTGTGTTTACTGCTGTTTACCGTTGTATACTGCTGTTTTCTGCTGTTATTGCTGAATGATGTGAAATGTGTGCTGTTATATATATTAAGCTGATATTGTTAAGATGATTGATGTGCTGATAGCTGTAGCCGTTTATTATTCATATATTTGTATATGTATGTTGTTTCTTTCACTAGCTTACCCTTTGTTGTTTCCATGTGGTTTGGACTGCGATGATCATACTATGTATTGGAACAGGGCAGGGTTAGGTTGGTGCTTGCTGAGGAGAGTCTGCAGCTAGCAGATAGAGTTTTATTCTTCGATGTATTTAGCTACTTAGTTAGCATGTTCTGGATGTATTTTGTACACTCTGATTCTAGACGGATTTGGACCTTGTATATATATATTATAGATCCTATATGTATATATTTGTTCGTTTCTGTGTAGTATTCTGGTATGTTATGCTGTGTGTATTGACCAGGCGGGTCGTTACACTATATATTTAAATAATTTAATTTTAATAATTTTTTAAGTATATTTTTGTCTTTTCACTTAAAATATTTGAATTTCTATATTTTAATTTGAATTATTTTTTAAGTATATTTTTGTCTTTTTGTCTTAAATTTTTGAATTTCTATATTTTAATTTTAATAATTTTTTTTTTCTATTATTTATTAATTCTTTTCTTTTTTAATGTTTTATAACATTATTAAAATTTTATAATTTTAATCTCTATAATTTTATCTTACTTTTTATTTTATAAGTATAATTTGCATTATTTATTTTATAATTAAATTAATTTTTTTAAATTTTTTATAAATTTACATAAAAGAATGTATTGAAATTCCTCGAATCTTTTATGGTATTGTGACAACTTCCATTTCCACAAAAATACACTGTCATTCATCACACCGCTTTTAGATTTGGTATGACTAGTCGTTACTCTACGATCGTCACAAATATATATATAT